TAGTGTATTTGTGCAAGGCGTCTCTTATGTAACTAATAAAAGCTTGCCCCGAATCAAGAGTAATAGCAGCAGTGTCTTTGGTGCGGAGAATTCAAATTGAATTAAAAGAACTAACAAAAAGGCTTGTTTGATTTAAAGCCCCAACTTCGGCAATAAAAGAACGCGCATACTTCACGCTGTTCAGTCTTTGATACGTTCTCTCAACGTTCCCCTAGACGAACTTAAGAATGAATGAATAGCATTTTTTACGCACGATTTTCTTTGACGCTGTTCCAATTATTTGTTGAGTCCGATCACCGCATTTGGTCCAGTTTTGATTTGCAAAGGCATCATGCGACATACGAGTAGTGTGTTTTGTAGGGCGGGCATTTATGCAAATTTTGAAATTCCTTTGCCTGCACGTGGTAACCGGACATGCGCATTTCTAGATCGACGTTTGCCTCGCCGTGGAAGCTTGCAACGTTTCGTCACTTGCTGCTCTGACCTTGCGTCACGAAACATCTCCCGTGAGAGCATCCAAAACGTGTCACTTTCAACAGTTTCAACGAGAGAGGTGTAATGATTGTAAGTATCAAATGGCAATTAATTTGTGGAACACGAACACGAGTAGTGCTGTAACTTTAGTCGCCCAGCGCCTTAACACAAAATGAATTTGATTGTGGTCTATTCCCGTAATTGACGTAACTGAGCTTATTTATGTATGCAAGCTGAGGCCTTAATAGCCGTTTTCTGGGACCTGAAGTGCATTGTATCGGATACTTAACAGAGTAACCTCTTACCAGCATGGGAAAATAAGTTAGTATTCTGAACAGACAAAAAATATACTTTTTTGGAATTTAGTATCGAATGTAGTTGGTAAAAAGGCTCTTGAAAAACGTGTCGAGGTTAAAATATGACTGGAAAATAAGATTTCGTTAAGTAATATTAGGTTATGCCCGGGATCTAGGGTTAACGAAACAGTGAAAATCTGATTGGAAGAAAAAATCCCTAAAAAGAACCTTTTTGCTGTGAGACAAATTTATTTGAACGACTAGAATTCCGAGCAGATTCATTCGTTTTTGCAATCCAAGATCCGTTCTGTGAAACACCTTGTTAAATTCTTTTCTTCAGAAGAGTTCCACAGGCGGACGCCATTAATTATTCTGGACAGTGACTCATTAACTGTAAGAAAGCAAACACGTGTCAGGAACAGTTAAATTGACCAGGGAAAATCTTTACTTAGAAAACACTCAGAATTTTTCAGACCAGTCTCATGGGGTTTGTGCACAGGCTCCCTCCGTGCAAGAAAAAAAAACCATCTTGTTAGGCTAATTAACCCATGTGGCATAAACTGAAAAAGTTGGAAGACTGATCCACTAAGATAAAACTCTCGCGCTTCAATGCAATTAGTTTTACAGAAAGGAACAAATTTGCCTGCCTTTGAAATAATAAAATCATACAGTGTATTAAACACTTTGCCGTTTCACTAGCATCAGTGACAACAATTTGTTGCTTCTTGTGTGAATTGCTTTTTATTTTCTTGAGATGTTATTTGGACATTTTCATGACATCATTTTGTATAAAGTAAAGAATTCTCATTGTCTTTTTTGTGTGTCTTGTTTGCTTTTGTTATAGAAACAGTCACCACGTCTCCATGTTCCAGGCCACCACTGTAACAGGAGTGTAGACTGCAATCTCCTCCAGTGAAAAGGCTACTAGTAGAGACTAATAGAGTAGTAGAGACTCATTGATCCCAAGTTGCAAGGTAAAACATAATTGTTAAAGTAGCTCCTTATCCCATATTTTGGAAATGTTGTAGAAAAAAATGGCTGAAATTGTTCCGAACCACATGTTTTAAAATTGCGAAAATAATTGCTGCTAATATGATTTTAAACCCAATAAATAAGTATAACTGACTAGAACTTCACAACTACTCTGGTATTTATTCAAAATTCAGTATTTTCAAATAAAACAAAAATGTTGATCTCTCTGCCCTAATTAAACTTGAAATTAAACCATAATGCACAGATTCTAATTGAATGGCATTACTTGGAGGACATGCAACATGCTATTAAAAGTGTTCCTAAAAATGGCTAAAATTGTTCTAACCCTTATGTCTTGAAAGAGTAAAATTAAAAGCATAATTGTTGCTAAAATTGTTCTAACCCACATGTTTAAAAAAGTGAATTGTTTGCAACCTCGCATTTGAAATTGTTGTAATCTCTCATGTTCTAAAAATGGCATAAAGTATTCTTTAACTGTATGTTTTAAAAAAGTAAAATTACAAGTATAATTGCTGCTAAAATTTTTCTAACCCCCTGTTCTAAAAAAAAGTGAATTGTTGAAACCTTGCATTTAAAAATTGCCATTAAAACTGTCCTGACCTCTAATGCTTTGAAAGAGTGAAATTGCAAGAATAACTGATTCTAAAATGGTTCTAACCCCGATGTTGTAAAAAATGTGAATTGTTTGCAACTTCGCATTTAATATTGACATTAAATTGTTTTAATCTCTCAAGTTCTAAAAGTGGTAGAAAAATGGCGGAAAATTTTCTTAACTGTATGTTTTAAAAAAGTAAACTTACAAGTATATTTGCTGCTAAAATTGTTCTAACCCCCATGATCTAAAAAAGGGATTTTTTTGCAAATTCGCATTTAAAATTTGCCCTTAAACATCTTCGTTACGCCACATTTTAAAATGTTGCAGAAAAAATGGCGGAAATTGTTTCTGATTGCATGTAACGGGAGTAATTGTTGCTAAAACTCATGTTTAAGAATAAAATTGCAAGAATAATTGCTTCTGAAATTAGTCTAACCCCCATGTTGTAAAAAATGTGAATAACTGTTTTAAAAAGTAAAATTACAAGTATAATTGCTGCTACAATTGTTCTAACCCCCATATTCTAAAAAAGTGAATTGTTTGCAACCTCCCAATTAAAAATTGCCCTTTAAACTGTTCTAATGTCTTGCGGTTTGAAAGAATAAAATTACAAGAATAGTTGATGCTAAAATTGCCGTAACCCCAATGTTAAAAACGTGAATTGTTTGCAGCTGCGTAATTAAAAATTGCCATTAAAATTATTCTTAACCCCCCATGATCTAAAAGTGAGTTGTTTGCAAATTCGCATTCAAAATTTGCCATTAAAATTGTTCGTTACGGTACGTTTTAAAATGGTGGAAATTGTTTCTGATTCCGTGTAACGGGAGTAATTGGTACTAAAACTCATGTTTTGATAATAAATTGCAAGAATAATTGATTCTAAAATTGTTCCAACCCCCATGTTAAGAATGTGAATGCAAAAATGTTTAAAAAAAATTAAATTACAAATATATTTGCTAAAATTGTTCTAAACCCAATTTTTAAAAATGTGAATTGTTTGCAACCTCGCATTTAAAAATTGACATTAAATTTGTTCTAACCCCCCTGTTCTAAAAAAAGTGACCTGTTTGCAAATTTTAATTTAAAACTGTTCTAGCCTCTCGTTTTAAAAGGTAGTAGATAAAATGGCGGAAATTGTTCCTAACCCCATGTTTTAAGAGTAAAATTACAAGAATAATTGCTTCTAACATTTTTCTAAACCCCCCGTGTAAAAACAATTGTTGGCAACCTTGCATTTAAAACCCCCATGTTCTAAAAAAAAGAGTGAATTGCAACACAATGTTTAAAATAGACAAACTTTATTTGAAGTTGATGATAATTGCAAGAGGAATAATAAACGAGCAGATTTAATAACTTTATTTTTGTGGCATTTATTCAGAATTTAGTCATTAATAGAAGCTAAACAATACATATTACAATATGTTACAAGTGTACAAGCTTTATTTTAAGTTGATAATTGCAAGAGGAATAAATGAGCAGATCTGATTATTCTCTGTGGCATTTATTTACAATTTAGAAATATTAAACAAAGAAAAATGTAGGTTACTTTGTAAATGTTAAACAATGTAATGTTATTACAAGCTTAAGGACATGTTCATCATGATTGCTATTAAAACTCTACTTTGAATAGACAAAGGTATTTGATGTGATTGGACTAATTACTGCTACACCAAATAGACATGTTCTAACTGTTATGCTAATATATTATTGTATGATGCAATACAGTAGGGAAAGTTAGAACTAACAATACACTAGGGTTAGAAGTTTGCATCATACAATAATATAATAGTATCAGTTAGAGCAGGGCTATTTGGTATAGCAGTGGTTAGTCCAATTACATTGAACACCTTTGTCTGTTTAAAGTAGAGTTTTAATAGCAATCATGATGAACATGTCCTTAAGCTTGTAATGACATTGTTTTACATTTACAAAGTAACTTTCATAAAGAAGGGCGAAGGGCAAAGGGCAAAGGGCAAAGGGCAAAGGGCAAAGGGCAAAGGGCAAAGGGCAAAGGGCAAAGGGCAAAGGGCAAAGGGCAAAGG